ATCATTAATTTATAACATTTCCTGACTTTTATTCCTATTAAAGTGAAGAGCCATGAATTTTGTCTCTCAAAAAAAGACATAAGTGATCTGTGAAATTTTATATGCTAAATATTTTAGAAACCCATCATTAGTAACAACCTGTTGACAATAATATAGTAGATTAGAAGAGTTATTATCTAAAGACACTGCAGAGTAAAATATTGTTCTCAAGGTTAAACTTAAAGGCTTTTATGCTTATAATAAGTTAGTTAGATTAGAATAATAGTTTGGCTGTAATATATATTATACTACTTGAATAAAAATATACTTATGTTTTCAATTGATTAATAAATTGACAATCTAGTCTAACTACAGATACTCAAAAATAATAATAATAATAATAATAATAATTTTCAAAGATTTATAGATCTATAGCATAATAATAATGCTTCCATGTTACAATTACAAGGTCCAAAGTTTAATACTATATAAGGATCAAGTAAAATTAAGCCATTAGTGATACAAAGATCGCATTTATCACATAATATTAATTAGATATTTGTATAAGTCACATAGCAAAGAATTGTATATATAGATTAACTATCCCATCCACTTATTTATTTTCTGATCTCCCTTTTCCCTTCCTTTTAAAAATTTTTTTCAGCATTAGTGGTTTTTCATTAGTTCTTACTTTAAAAACATGTCCGAAGTTAATCAGTATAGTTATATTGTTAGCTTTATAGGTTTATAATTATATTTTTAACATGTATTATATTCATATTTAAAACTATATCCAATAAAGCAAAGGCTGAGCTGACGTTTAAAAAAATATATATATACAGTATATATATATTAATTAGATATCCCAGTATAATCATAAAATCAAGGAATTGCATACTTACTATACCTATAATAAGACAAAAATCAATTTTAATAAGGCAAGATCAAATCATATAATATCTTTGATATACATCAGTTTCCTTCTAAGTGGTCAAATTAAATAGTCAAGATGTTTTAATATTTCAAGAAAAAATAGAACAGTTTCTATAAGAGACAAAGATAGATTGATAAAGAAGGTGAAGAAATAATATAGATTTCTTAAAATACATATTAATAGAAGTTATAAAAGAAAAATATTTAATTTGTCAATTTAATGGAGTACCTTTCACTTATAGAATCTTATCTAATAAAGTGATACTTCCCAGAACTGTAATCTATCAGATGATTTATTGCTATATTTCAATATCACCGATATTGATAGTTTCTTATATAAGATCTTAATTTCTTTGACTTTATTAAGAATTAAAAAAAAATTCTATATAGATAGTCATATAATTCTTTTATCCTGATTGGATAAGACATAAATATCTCTTGTATTATTCATTAATTTGTAAATCTTTAGACAGTACAGATAATTACTTATTTTAGTTATGTCTAGGATTTGTCTTAGTAATTAATAAAGATTTTGAGGCTGGCACAAGAATAAGATAATAAGTTTAAAAAATAATAATAATAATAATTTTCAGTTTAAATCTATTAAAAAACTATTATAAAAATTATTTTATTCAATAATATATTGTAGTAATTAACTTTAAAATTTTATTATAAAACAAGATATATAAAAATAAAAATTTTATTAATAAATAATTAAAATTGGTAATTGTTGGCAATGATCCTGATAGATAAAGGTTATTACCAATCTATTAGGGGAATGAAATATTGTCCCCAAAATCTGATTTAGAGTATTTTTATATAAAGACAAGTTAGTCACTTTGTGAAAGTCTTTTTTTTTAAAAAAAAACTGGCTCATCCTATGCCTTTTCCCATGCTTTATTAAGAAAAGATCATATTTAGCAACAATCAGAATGAATACTTTTTCATACTATCTAAGGATTTACAGATCACTAGAGAGAAATAGAACAGGAAGCTATCTATTTTTATAACTCAATCTATGTCTAACCTAACTAGGATAAGGAAAATACATGACTGCCTAGTGTAAATACTTCTCTTTTAAAAACAAAGTGGGAGACTAGTGAGATATATAAGCTGTGCACTACTTGCTTGTTCCCATATTTAGGAATCGACATTATCTAGAGTATACTAATACATCCACTGATCGGCCTGTTGCCACCCACTATTGGGACCTAACTTGCCAGGACTCATACAAGAGTCCCAACACCACCTGATGTGGGAGATCTCTTGTACTAGTCTTGTGACTAATCAGTGTTAAAAGAAAAAATTAAAGCGAAGGGAGAGGATTGAAAATATTTACAAGAAAATGAAAAAGGGAAAGAAATGAAAGGACACCTAACAACTACTCATCCATCCAATTTTGCCTCTGAAGGTACTCAATTCATAGCCTTAATACTTTTGGAGTTAATGAGAGAGAGGAGATCACAGTCCATATGATGTTTATCTACCTGCACAACTAGCCGGTGACTTATGATGGACCTAAGGTTCTTATGAAACCTAGGAAATGCATTCACGTCCCATGTCACGTATATCCTTGTTTATATTTTTGTTAACCATAGAGCAATCAATCCCAGATTTCAGCCAATCAAACCATCCAAAATCTGATATAACAGAAAATTCAGGGTCAAGCTGGGATAGGCAAAATTTTCCAGAAAAATCAAAAAAAACTGCTACATGCTGAGAAAGAAGCCATTTTTGCCTGTGGTATTGATGTCTACCTACTGGCTGACATGGAGTTGTTGGCCCAAACTTCTTCCTAGACTTTAGAACCTCTATAGAGAAGAGAGAGAGATTATTTTTTCGTTTGGTTTCTTTTTTCTAGAAAAGCTTTTTTGCTATTAACTTCTTAAGTAGGGGGTTTGTAAAGAGGAAAAGTAAATAAGAAGGGTATAATATGACTATTGCTAAATGAAGCAGGTGTTTTTAAGGAGAGCTTTGAAGTTTTATTACTCTCAAAACATAAAGTTTTGGAGAAACGCTTCTTTGGAAGTGGTGGTCAAGGATCTACAAAAAAGAGTTGTCCCACTTTGTAAAAGTCTGTAAAATATTGTAAATTCATTTTCAATTTTTCAATAAAGACATGCCATTGTGGCATAATTGCGGGTTAAAAAAAAAAACAATAATAATAATAATTAAAATTGATAATGTATTATTAAAAAGATTATAATATTTATAAATATTGATTAAATTAATATTTTAAATAATAATTTTATTTAATTTGATATTTATTTAAATAAATTATAATTAAAACTTATTTACTGTATAACTAATGATGAGTTCCTAAAGTATTTAGTATATAAAATTTCACCAATCAATTATATCCTTTTTTGAGAGACAAAATTTATAGCTTTTTACTTTAATAGGGACAAAAATTAAGAAATGCTATAAATCAATGATTTGAATAATGGAGAACAATTGTGAATAGTTTTTTTATTGTTATTATTTTATAATTTTAATGTTTCCTAGTAAGGGACATTTGACTTTTATCCCTGCCTCCCACTTTAGAAACCCATCTTTATTTATAACTTATGGATTTATAGTACAGTAGTAATGTTCCTAGATCATAATCATAAAGTTCAATATTCAATACCATATAAGGATTATATAAAAAAATTAAACTATAAGTAGTATAAAGATCCCATCTTTTCTATAATAATGATCAAGTGTCTTAATAAGATAATAAGAAAAATCTGTTTGCTCATTATGCCTATAGTGAGAATAATAAAATCAATACAAGGTTCTATATAAGGCTAGTATAAGTGATGTGAGTCCTTAATATAGAACTGGTTCCCAAGTATCTGAACAGGAAGTAAATAATGACTCTATTTACTTATCACAGTCATAACAAGACAAAATATGTCGCAAAATTCTCAAATATAGCTTAATAAGTGGTACGATGTCTTGACTATAAACTAATCAGCCTCCTTAAGATTTAAGAAGAAGAATTTAACCACTCATAGAAATGATCAGACCAACTCAAATTTAAACAAGTATCAAGTCTTATATGATCTTGAAAAAAGTTACAAGACAAGTTTTAGAAAGACAAAAAACTAAGTGGTATAATGTTTTGAATATAAGACTGAGCTTTTAATTAATAATATAATAGATATCAGATATATTACAAGCTTTTTATAAAGAAAAAAATCTTAAAAAGCATTAATGGAGTCAATAGAAAACTTTGTATAAGAGATTTCAATATCAATAATATTGGGTATCTTAGACAAGTTCTTGACATGTTGGTTTTCCTGAATAGGGGATAGCAACAAATCATTTGATTGACTATGGTCCTAGGAAGTATCATTTTCAGGTAATAGAAATATTAATACAGTGGGTTTATTTCATTAAATTGAATATATAAGTTCTCACGATCCTTAGCAGAGTTAGAATTAAGAGACAGTTCTATATTAGATGATCCCATAGTTATCCTATTCTAATTGGATAAGACATAAATAAATATTTCTTGTACTATTCATTGATTTGTAAATCATTAGACACTATGGATAATTACAATACTTATCCTGATTGTTTCTAAAATTTATCTTGATTATAATAAAGTTTCCAAACTGGCATAGGAATAAGCTAGTGTTTAAAAAAAAAAAAAAACTTATCTATAATATTGAAAATAGTGACAAGAAAATTAAAATATTTTAAACAGTTAAATTAATTCTTTTGAATTATAACTTTAAAAAAATTAATTAATAACCTATATATATTATCAATAAAATCATATATAATTTTTTTAATAAAAATAAAATAAAATAATTTAACTTACTATTTATTTATTTTATAAAGTCAAAGTATTAATTATTGTTATATAACCTTAAATTTATTTGCTATTATTTAAAAATTTATTATGAATTTTAAAATTTAATTAATGTTATAAATATATACAATAATCAAATTTTTTTTTAAAAAAAATATATTGTTTAGTTTCAATTAATTAACATTTAATAATCAATTTTTCGAAAATCATGTACATACGTATATACTGTATACATTGGCATCTTAAGTTTAAGTCGATCCTAAAATCAATTTTTTTTACCATTAAAATGTCTCTTAAACCGTATCAACGTGATTTTATCGAATACGCTATTTCTCATGATATTCTGAGTTTTGGTAGTTTCACTCTGAAATCTGGTCGGGTCAGCCCATACTTTTTCAATGCCGGAAAATTCAACAAGGGTAGCTCACTAGCAGCTATTGGCACATTTTACGCTTCAGTCTTACAAGATACCGGATTGGAGTTTGATGTAGTATTTGGTCCAGCCTATAAGGGCATTCCATTATCATCGTCAACAGTGATTGCATTGGCCGAAAAATGCAATAAAGATGTACCTTATTCTTTTAATCGAAAAGAGATAAAGGATCATGGCGAGGGAGGAAAGATTGTAGGAGCTCCATTAGAAGGGAGAATCCTAATTGTGGATGATGTTATTACAGCCGGAACAGCAGTCAGGGAGAGCTTATCGATAATCAAAGAATGTGGCGCGACTCCCGTTGGCGTCGTTGTAGCCGTGAACAGACAAGAAAAGGGTACCGGCGAAATTTCAGCCGTACAACAAATTGAGAAGGATTACGGGATCCCGGTGTTGTCAATCGTTAATTTAGATCAAATAATTCAATATATTAAAGAACAAGGTGATTATAGTGAACATTTGAAAAAGATGGAAGAGTATCGAGCTACATATGGAATTCAAACTAGTTGACTTTTCGATACCATCAATTTAGCAGACGGATAACCTAACTACTAAATTAGGGTTTTTTTTTTTTTGTTACTTTTTAATTGATTTAATCAACAAGATAAAGACCTAAGTCTTTTCTCATTTCATCAATATTCTTATTCCAACATTCTTCATAATAAACATTCATCAATAATTTACTCTGTGAACCGCATTGAACAGCCCATGGAACATACTTGCAAAACAGTCTTTTTCTTTCTCTTGACGACAATAACAAGCTACCAAACGTGGAACTTAAAAATGTCATCGGCAATCCGGTTTGAATAAGTTCAAACCACTTTAAAGCCAATTCGCCCTCAACATTTGTTGGTAGTTTAGTTAACGTATGAAAAAAGTCATGACTTTCTCGATATCTTTGCATTACGTAGGCCAATTCTTCGTCATAAATATATTGCACCTAAAGATAGCAAGTAGTTTTAATTTGATGATATTATTATTTTTTTTTTTAAAAAAAAAGTACATAATAAACTTTCAGTACCTTAACTCGAGAATCTGGAGTGACCTTTTCGTTACTTAAAAATTTTGTATACTCTTTTCCAAATGTTCCTTCAGGGAGTGTTTCTAAGTATGGTATATCAATCGATTTCGAACTAACAATCGGTCGTTCTTTTAATATACGACGACCAACAGGATCTCTTAGCATGTCATCCCGAAGCTTACTGAGAAATATAAAACTAGATGTTTCCCCCAATGTTGCAATCATATCTTAAAATAAATTGATTATATTATTATATTGAATAATTAGCGGTACGTGGCGCGTACATTGAATAGTTACCTTGTCTGCTAGGGTCAAAGAAAGCTCCGAAAGCAGATGAAACAATAAGAAGACTCTGTTGAAGTTTTGTAATGGGTGCATTTGTTGATACGTGACGATGGAGTAAATGTCTTCTCGCGACAGTACGAATGGGAGAAATCTGAGGACAGATCATAGTTGCGTGTTCTTGTAACACGTACATACTTATTAGGCTTCGTGCTACGTACATAATCTCTATATTTTTTTTTTACATAACAACTAACTCATCTTTGTACATTATTAGTTGAAGAATTACACTACTTAAAAAATATGAATTCACTAAGAAAAAGTCTCAATTAGATACTTTAAATTAGATTTAAGAGATAATATTTTACTTTTTTGATAGATTGATATTTTCTTTCAAAAATTTTTTATTTAATTGAAATATTTTTTAACTTTGAATTATTTAAAAAATTTATTTATTGATTATTAAGACTATATACTATTTAAAAACTCATTACCTAGAGTTCTTAATGTAAAAACCTAAAGATTCCTACTTTTTTTTTTTTTTGAAAAAGTTTTTTTTATATTATATATTTTTTATTTATTTTTGAATATCAAGATTATTTTTCTTAAGAACTTGCTTAATTAAAGAAAAATATTTTCATAAAAATTTTTTTCTATTATTAATAATATATATATATGTGATAGAATTAAATTTTAAAAATTTTAAAAAATAGAATTATTTTTTTTTTTTGAGTACCTGTAACCAGGCTAAATTGTGAATTTATTAATCAATTGAAACATAAGTATACTTTCATTCGAGCAGCATGATAAACATTACAGTTAAACTATTTTCATATTATCTAACTAACTTGCCATAAGTATAAAAATATCTAAGTTCAACCTTGGAAACAATATTTCAATCTGTAATATCTTTGGATAAAGACCTTCCTAGTTCATTGCATCATTACTAGTAGGTTATTACTGTCATATATCATACCAAGCCACTGAAATGCAGAAAATTACAAAAGGATAGATAAAAAAAAAGAATAGTATATCTAAAAATATTTAAGTGGATATATAAGAAACCAAAAAGAAAAAAGAAATTAAAATTCTTTAGTATTCTCTAAAGATCTGCTTTTTAAGACTTTTTTCTAATAAGAAATATCCAATTGAAATATTTTTTCTTCTCTTAACTATTTGAGAAACTTATCTATTCATGATTTTAATTTTCTTCTTATATATTATCTAAGGAGACTTATTACCTAATAGGAGTCTTTACTTCCAAGACATACTTTGTTCCAATCTTTTTGAAACAATAATTTTTTATTTGCTTATAGTAGAGAGGTAACTTATGATGGATCTCAGGTTCTTATATGACCTAATAGGAACTAGATCATATTGTTTTAGTATAATACCTTTCAGCAAACATATTTAATTAAAAGAATTTTACTAGTATATATCTTTCATTATACAAAAGATTAGATTTCCCAATAATCTTCTTGCCTTGTAATGGTGGAGGGTCTTAAAAATAATAGGAATCCTTATTAATTATAATATCTTTCAATAACTTGTGAAGAAATATATTCTCAACTATAATCAAAGGATTGAAGTTTAGTATAAACTAAAGACTATTTGATATTATTGTCTGATTAAAATAAAAAGAAGACCTTGATCTTGAACTTTACTTGATCAAAATAATAAAAGAGAAAGACCTTAGCTTGAACAAATAATAGCTTTTTTATTATTAAGAACTTGTTGCTTATATCTTATTAGCCTTATAGTACTTGGTCTATAGATTAACTCAATTGGAAGAACAAGATAGGAATGAAATATCAATCAACTCTTTCTATAATCAATGACATTATCAATACATATGAGGGGACCAGTAGGTACTTGTTTATATTTAGTTACTAATGTATTTTATGTTAATCAATTATATTTTCCAATAAATTGTGTCACCTAAAATTTAGAATCAAACTAAGATAGGTAAAATTCACCAGAAAACCAAAAAATTTTTGAATGACTATAAGAAGGAAGAAATAGTGGATAAACATTTTTAAATATGACTTAATATTCACCATCTTCCACTGCAGATAATCTCTATAGACATGCTTCAATATAAAAGGCTTCAAGTACTATACTATTAGTTTTTCTTCCTTACAAAACTTTCTTATCATAGGTAAAGAAGGTGTTTCTTGACTTTTCTAGATTACAGGAAACCAAATTTTTGTTTGAAAATGAATATAAACAAGAAAGGGGATTTGAAAATATCTCTTAAAGTAAAACTTTAAGTTAGTTTAAGGATAATATTAAGACTTTAATAACAAAGAAATAAAAAATTTCTTGCAAACATCTTTTAGATGTATGAATAGAAGAATAGTGTTTTATTCCAGTATAATTATATATTTACTATTTATTTATTTACAATTATATTATTATAATGTAGATATTATAAATTGAGATACAATATCATAAAAATATCTAAAACATTATATATTATTAATTAAAAAACTACATTATTTAAAAAATATGAGGAGTTTATAAAATAAAGTCTAAATAAAATACTTTAAGTTAGATTTAAAAAACAATATTCTACTTCTTTAATAGATTAATTATAATTTCTATTTATCAGGATTATTATATACTGTATAATTTATTATTATAGATTGTTTTTAAAAATAATAAATTACTAAATTATTATACTAAAGAAAAAGAAAAAAATTTTTTAATAATTATTAAAAGGTTTCTCAAAAATGATTTGTTTAATTAAAATATTTTTTGAATTTAATACTATCCAAAAACATTGATTATTTCTAAGTATAAAAACTTCAAAAAGAATATTAAAAAATTTTATTTTTTTATAATTTATAAATTAGTTTATTTTTTTTTTTTTGAGTACTCGTAGCCAGGCTAGATTGTCAGTTTATTAATCAAATGAAGACAAAAGTACATTTTCATTCGAGCAGCATAATACATACTACAGCTAAA